ATATAGCTCAGTGGTAGAGCACTTGCCTAGCATGTGCAATGCCTTAGGTTCTATCCCCCACACTAGAAAAAAATTACAAAGGATTTTTAATAACGTGTTGGAAGCTTATAAGCATTTAGAAAAAAGCAGAGTGCAAGATTATATTGATTATAGACCAAAAAAGTCTACTTACAGCCCCCATATATCATAACTTTCCCCTAAGAGGTCAAAAACACATGTCTTCATATTAGTTCTAAAAATCAAACTTCCTTGGTTATCCTATGATTAGTAATAGGGGACATAGGAAAATTTCTGCCATCTTTTAGGTTATTTCCTATTAAGACTGTATTCTGTCTACGTATTCCTACTGTAAAGGTTAGGGACTGGGGACATTGTATCCCTCGCTTGACAGAGGGACAGGTAAACAAACAAAAAAGGAGCTCAGAGGCTCCGGGGAGGAGAAGGTGTTGGGTGGGTCTGAGCCCCAAACCAAGTCTGGGTATTACTACATCCAGCAGGGAGAAAGTCAGATCCATTCCTAAGTGGAATTCCTTGGTGTTTCTCTTTCTGTTTCCCTTTCCACCCCCCGTTTTTTTTCATGGTATTGAAGATTTAAACCCAGGACTGTTTGACCAGGCTACACCACCCCCTCTTTTTGAGACAGGGTCTCACTAAGCTTGCCTGTACTAGATTCAAACTTGCAATCCTCTTGTCTCAGCCTCCCAGAGTGCTGGAATTACAGGCGTGCATCGCCACTCCTGTTGAATTATCCTAGGGGTGATAAATTCCAACTCGGTGGAGCCCCGTATACTAAGGGTTCAGTGTGTGTGCTTTGCAAAATGTAATTGTAAGGATGCAGATGTTTGCTCTTTTGTTGCTTGGCTTAGTGGCTGTGGATATTGTCTAGCCTCAGGTCCTACAGCCTTGGAAAGGTAAATAAAGGACCATAACAACCTTGTATTTAGCATTCTGCCCCCAGGCTTCTTTCGGGACTCCCAAGACTGGTCCCACCTGCCTTCCCTGCAAAGCTGATAAAAGGATGCGAACATAATTGTGGAAAGGGCCTGCTAAGGCCATGCAGGCAGAGTCTTTGGCTGGCTGCTTCTTGAGCTTTATCAAGACGTTACACCTCTTTTCTGTTGTCACACCTTCTCTTGCTCTTCCTTCTACTCTGGTTTATGCAGTTTTAAGGCTATTAGTGTTACCCAGTTTACCAGTGACTTTACCTAGCCACCTACCAAGTTGCATCCTTTGCATTCTTCCTTTTATTTTTATTTAATTTTTTAAAACTTATTTATTTATTTGTTTGTTTGTTTGTTTATGGTTTTTTGAGACGGGGTCTCACTATGTAGTTGAAACTGACCTGGCTGGAACTCACTATGTAGCCCAGGCTGGTCTGGGACTCACAGTGATCCTCCTGCCTCAGCCTCCCGAGTGCTGGGATTACAGGCATGTGCACCACCACACCCGGCTGTATTCTTCCTTTTGAAGAGCCTTATTTGAGAGTTTTGGATACTGTGTGACACTATAAAAATGATTTCTGGTGGTCACATGACTGGTATTTGGTGTAATAAATTCAGTGTTTAAATCTTTTAAAAAATTAATGCAATAGGTCTGGGAATTTAGCTCAGAGGTTCCGCCGCCTCCCTTGCAAGCACAAGGACCTAAGTTTGATCCCAAGTACCCCAAATTATTACAGTAAAGACACTGCTGTCAACCTCCCTCAGAATGATCCCCTTCACTTGGAATACACTCCCTGTCCCACTGTTGCTGCCACTTTCCGAAGCAGTTTCAGAAGTCCTCTTCCGTGAGTGTCTTTAGTTTTGCTATTGCGGCTGCCTCAATGTCCTGAATCAATTCTAAAAGTTTACCTTCCGTTGTTCGTTTTGACTTTGGGGAAGAGCCGGAAGTCACTCGTTGCTAGATCTGGTTAATAATGTGATGTTTCCGTGAGCCTGCCTTTCCATTGGATGGTGCTTGGTGACAGCATTCGCCATATTTTTATGAAAATTTGTTCATAGAATTTGCCACAAGTTTTCAAACTGAAAATGTGGGTCAGGTGGGACAGTGTGACTAACTAGTGTTCTGTACTTCTTAATTCGCTTTGGGAACGATAGAATAGAGGTGTCATCTTCTGAATATAGGCTATCCGTCGCCTATTTTAAATCCTAAGCCGAGTCCTAACAGGCAACTTCCCAGTAGGTTCCTGGGTTGACTCCCTGCCTATCCAGTCCTGGCATGTGCAGGAAGTACAAATTTACTTTAATAGCAGCTTACATTCAATGTAATTTTTAAAGTAAACTGACTGTGAGAATTATTTTCTTAAATATAGAATTTGTCCTTGGATTCCGTACATGACCCTGCTTGAGGTGTTTTTAAAGTCAAGCAGCAAATGGAATTTAAATCCATTCTCCACCTGTTTTAAAGAGTTCTATGGGGCTGGGATGTAGCTCGGCTAGCACACCTCCCTAGCATGCGCAGGCCCTGGGTTCAAACCCCATCACTTCCAAAGAAAGAGGCTCTGATGCTAGTCCCAAATGGGTTGTGCCTCATCGGGAGCTTCCGGGTGCTTCAGACTTCCACATTCTTGGGAAGCAGGGGAGCCTAGGACCCTGAGAGAGGCTGCCTGGCTGTGTGGCTTCCTTGAGGCACATTCCCAGGAAGGTATCTTTGCCCCACGTCCTTTGCAGCCTTTCATCCAGCAGCTGGCAGACTCCCTAGATGCACCGGGCATCAAAGCGGGAGGTGCTCCCCTTCGGGACCCATCAGAACACGCTTCCTGCAGGTGCTGTGTGATATGCCTGATCATGGTTTGAGAGCCAAAGAGAGGATGAGTCCGTTTATTTCTTTGTGTGTGAAAGAATTTGTGAAGAAGACCTGAGCAAAAAGCACAAGCACTTACTCATTATTACCTCTGCAGTCCACAAGCTGTTGTCCCAGGCAGAGGTCTGTGGGCCTAACGGTTTTAAGGGAGAGGCCAGGCGTGGTGGTGCATGCCTGTAGTCCTACCACTCGGGAGGCTGAGGCAAGGGGGTTGCCGTGTTTTTTGGGTTTTGTTTTTTTGTTTTTGTTGTTGTTTTGTACCAGGGATCGAACTTGGGAACTTGTGCTTGCGGGGCAGGCAGCAAAACCACTAAGCTAAATCCCCAGCCCTGACTGCTGAAAATTTGAAGCCAGCCAGGGCTGCATAGCGAGAACCTGCCTTAAAAAAAACAAACCAAAGCAAAAGATCTTAAGGGAGAAAGAAAGCAGTGCCACCTTACCTCTTTCTCAGCTGTGCCACCCATGTCCTTGCCAGAGGGAAGTGACAGGGCCATTGCAACTCTGCGTACCCTGGGTTCTTAGTTGAACGGCCAAGACCGCGAAGTGGGAGAGACACCACCCATCACAGTGCCATAGTTCTCTCCTTTTACAAGTGAGGAGACGGGCAAAGATAAGGAAAGAAATGCAGTAACGTGTCCAAGAATGACTCCTAGGATTCATTCCTGCCTCTTGGTGTACTCTGGTGATGAAACAGACTTTGAATACATTCAGTCTCAATTAAAAAAAAATAAAAGAGCATTGCACCCAGATGTCAAGGGCTTCTTGACCTGCTAAGGCTCATGCTGTGCCCTCAGGATGTCTCTGAAGCTGGTTTTGCAGTTGGTGCTGCTTACAGGGACATAGTTTAAACGCTGTGGGACGAGACTGCCCTCTAGTGGGCCAGGAGCGTCATTGGTCTAGCCAGGCTCTTGTCCGTTGCGCTTTCTCGCTCGCATCCATAGTGTGGTAATTCCTGTGGAAAGAAGTCAGATTTTCTCAAGCATTTGGGCCCACAGTGACCCTGGTGACCTCCTAGGCACTAGCCATCATTTTCCATCATGTGGCGTGCCAGTTTTGGGGTTTGTTCTCCCCACATTCAGGGAATCATCTCCCTAACAAGATTCAGACTCCCAAAAGTAAAGGTCTGCTTACGTCTTTCCCTTCCACAGCTTCCACCCTGTTGCTCACTGAGCTGGACATAAAATTAGCAGGTTCATTAGGGAAGGAACCCCACGCTCCCATCCCTCAGGAAAACAACCTGTCCCTTCCCATTTGTTTTCGAACCTCCTAACTGCATCTCTCTGATCTGGAGTTCCACAAGTGGTTGAATCATTTGACTCCCTCGGAAAGCTTATAGAACTCAGTTTCCTGGGCCTGACTCCAGCCCTGCTGAATCAGTCTCTGTGGTTTGAGCCAGGAAATCTGCTTTTACAAACTTCCCAAGTGGTTTTTGATGTGCAGCCAGGTTTGGCAGCCAAGTGCTCTAAATCCCCATTTACAATTATTTCTTGTAGGTTTTCCCCCACCCATAGCGTTTCCAAAGGTCTTCAGCTTGTGTCACTTACTAAGGTTGACCATTTAGAGGTTCATTCAGAGATAGTCGACGTAGTAGTCTAACTAGATGACATGGGTTAGAAAAAAGGACCATAAGAGGTGAATGAAAGGCATTTGTCTTGGTTGCCAGGGGCTCTGTGTTTTGTTTTGTTTTGTTTTTTGTGGTGCTGGGGATCGAACTCGGGTCCTTGCGCTTGCGAGGCAGGCCACCAAACCACTGAGCTAAATCCCCAGCCCCAGACTGGGGATCGCTCGGGTCCTTGCGCTTGCGAGGCAGGCCACCAAACCACTGAGCTAAATCCCCAGCCCCAGGGGCTCTGTGTTCATAACAGAAAATACTAAAGCCATCATTTCTGTGCTGACTAGATCTGTAGTTTATTTTTAATGTTTGGGCTGATTAGGGAAACAGGTTTATTGAGTAACCAGTTACCTATTCCTGCTTATTCTAACTCATCTGCTTCTTGGATAACATACAAAGTAGGTGGTATTGTCTCCTTTTTGACAGATGACAACGTTGAGGCTTAGGAAAGTTGGGTAATTTGCACAAAGTCACACAGGAGTGTTGCTGTCAGCTTCTGCATTTGCGCACAGGCTTGATCTCTAAGGCCAATACTGGGAAAGTAAGAGGACCAAAGTTGTCAGCCTGCTCTTTTTCACTCCTCCAGGCCAAGCGAGCAGTACAGCGGGGAGCTACTGCAGTCATCTTTGATGTATCTGAAAACCCAGAAGCCATTGACCAGGTAAACCTATACCATTCTTGCAGTGTCCCTGAGAGAGGGTTACTTCTTTTACCTGGCTTGGCTAGTCACAGTCATGTCACCCCAAGTTAGAGCCTTTGCCCTTGTGTGCTGAAGTAAGATGTCTGTGTTTGGAGAGCAACCCGAGGGAGCTGTACTGGAGGAGTTCAGAGCCAGGGAGTTGGGAATTGGGGACATTTTCAAAGATCCTGCCGGGCCAACCTATCCTCACCCTTATCCTTGCTCTTCTGGGGACCTCCGGCCTAGAATGCTTAAAGATTTCAGAGATTTTCAGACCAGGATTTGGTGTTCTTTCCCTTAGACCTTTTTCGTTTTCTCGTGGTCCCCTAGCCCCTCCACTGCTTGGCGGTCAAACCCAGGACGAGCACTCTACCACGGAGCTACATTCCCAGCCCACTCTCTGTCTTGCTTTGTAAAGTAAGCGCGTCTTTTAACCAGAGCTCTCTCTTCCTCAGCTAAACCAAGGCTCAGAAGATCCACTCAAGAGGCCAGTGGTGTATGTGAAGGGTGCAGATGCTATCAAGTTGATGAACATTGTCAACAAGCAGAAAGTGGCTCGAGCAAGGATCCAGCACCGCCCACCTCGAGTGAGTGTGCAAGCTGGCCAGCCCAGGCCCAGCGGTTTCCTGCCACTCTCTGTGCCTGTGTTTCCTTTAGGCTTTGGGCTTTGGTTCTTGACATCTTTCTGTCTAAAATGCTAGTGGGCACAAGCCAGGAAGAAGTTTCAGCTGTATTCCTTTTTGATGAGTCTGAAAACAGACGTACCAGATATAGGTCCCTTGTGCTACGAGGTCCACGTCTGGTCTCTTCCACCTGGCGTTCTTCTGAGTAGCCTCCCACTCGTCCTTCTCTCCTGTCCTGTCTCCCCGAGGGTCACACTGAGGAGAACTGAGGTAGGCTCAGCATCTGGCTTCCTGTGTCCCGGTCCTTCCGTGTGACCGAGTCACTGCGCTGCTTCTTCCTGGAGGGCAGATTACTTTATCAAGACTTCCCAGCTCACAGATGAGCCTAGAAAAGTTAGCTCTCAGCTGGGATTGACTCCCACAGATGAGCAGTAGTCCTTAGGGTTCTATTCAGCGTGTTTAAGGGACACTGCTGGCCATGAAGCGTCCTCTGTCGACTTTTCCCCAACCTTGGGCCGAAGGATTCTGGGAACCTGCAGCTGGCGCCCCATCCTCCTAGAGTTATTTCCTCCTCCCAATAGTGAAATGTTCACGTGTTGAGTGGTTCTGTCACATGCGTGAAGTGTCTGAATACGCATACCATCCTAGCATCTGACTAGCAAAGCTCTGTTCCTGTTGACTAAATGCGGCATCCTCGGTGAGACAGCTTTGGGCCTTGAGGCCGTGTGCTAGTGTGCTGTGAGGAAAAAGGCAAGAACTAAAACTGGAGGGGGAGTTGCAGAACTGACTTGCTGGCCTCTTTTTAAAGGAAAAAAAAAAACACTTTGGTAAATATGATTCATTGTAGTGGAAGCTGATATTTGTGAAAGCACCACACAATTTTCTGAGTTGTTGTAAACCGTTAATTACATGGTTCGTAATCACTATTCCCTCAAAACATGGTACTCACTCCTTTGTACCATAAATGCGATTATTTGTGTTTGTTTGGAAAGGCCTGTGCTATTCCATGGGGGCCTAGGCTGTTTTTGTTTTGTTTTGTTTTGTTTTGTTTTTTATTTTTTGACACAGGTCTCACTATGTAGTTCAAGCTAGCTTTGAAGTCACTATGTAGCTCAAGGTAGCCTCAAAACTCACAACGATCCTCCAGCCTCAGCCTCCCAAGTACTGGTATTTTGTAGGTGTGTACCACCAAGCTCAAGGCCAGGCTTTTTGAGTAGAATTCCCTTGGCTATTAGGAGTTCTGGCTAAAACCACCGCAGGCCTCCCCCCAGCAAGTCCAGAGCACGACCTGGGCCTAGAGAACATGGCTGTGTTTACATGAGCTGAGCCCTAGGAGTTTACAGCACACGGAGGGGACCCTCACCCCACTCAGCCCATCCTTGTCCCAGCTAGGGCCAACAGCCCATATGTGCCCATTGCCACGCTAGAGAGTGGCTGAGATTAATTATGTTTGTGTTCTGTTCCAGCAACCCATCGAGTACTTCGACATGGGCATGTTCCTGGCTTTCTTTGTGCTCGTCTCCTTAGCCTCCCTCATCTTCCTTGTCAGAATCAAGCTGAATCAGCGACGTCAGGTAATCCCGAAAGCAGCTCCAGAATATCGACCTGGTTGTGTTGAGCCGGTGAGAGTCAGGGCTCTGATCGGCCCACTGTTTGTGGGCCTTAGTGCCCCACCAGTCTGCCCTGTTTCTTTAGTGTTCCAGAAGGCCAGGCCTTTTGTAGATTGCAGATAATTTATCAGAAGAAATGTTTAAATAAATGTTCCTGTGGAGCCCTACTGCCGCCCTTCTCAGACAGACCTGAGCCCTAGAGCACCTGAGAGCCTGGTGGAATGAAGATTCTCAGGCTCCACGCGAGCCTCCTAAATCCAGTCTGCATCTGCTAAGCCCTCTGGGTGATTCTGGATACACAGAGTAGCACAGTAGTGCTCCAGCCAGCACACCACTGTGTACTTACACGAAAGAGATTTGTGGACAGAGTGTAGTGAGAGGGTGAGCGGGAAGCGGACTCCGAGACAGTGGTACTGTGACGTCTCGGGAGAGACGGTAGGAGAAATGCTTACGTTCTCATGAGGCTTCCAGGGCCACCCCCACAGAACAGGGCCGGCTGATGTTACCCGCCGCTTCCTATGTACCATTGTCTCATTTACCCTCACAGCTTCCTTCAGCATCCACGGGGTGAACCTTCGGTGGCGAGCAGGGTCTCACAGAATCGGGAAGTCGTAGGGCCAAGTAATTGGAGGAAACTGGGGAAAGCCTGGGCTGATGTCATGGGTGCTCTAGGGGCCTGGAAAAAACACGCTATGGCAGTCTGAATTTCAAGTGATGTCTCAAAAATCTGTTCTGAATAGTGTTTGTCCCAGCACATCAAGTGCCACGGCACTGGAGTTGACAACGGCTGTTAACATGTGCCACACTTTAACACTGACCATGTCCTGCATGCAGAATTCCATGAACAGGCTGGCCGTGCAGGCTCTAGAGAAGATGGAAACCAGAAAGTTCAACTCTAAGAGCAAGGGGCGCCGGGAGGGGAGCTGCGGGGCCCTGGACACCCTCAGCAGCAGCTCCACATCTGACTGTGCCATCTGCCTGGAGAAGTACACCGATGGAGAGGTAGAGCCGGAGGCAGGGCCTGTCGTGGGTGGGCAGGAGGTAGACGGAGCAGCAGAGGCGCCCAGAGCCATAGTCCTTCCCCTCAGCCTTGCAGGTGCGGTAGGGTTTACTGTGGATGGCCTGGGGTATTCCCACTACTTCTCTGGGGACTGGGGCGGGGGCCAAAACACTTTCCATGGAACACACTGCAGGTGACTTCAAAAGTTGACTGAAAATATATATGCCACAAAATGTCTGGTTTTGGGGACATTTACATTTGTTGACTATTTTCGAATTGCTCTTCTGAAAACTCTAGTAGTTGGTATATTTTTCTTTCAAAGAGATGTGGGATTTGACACACACACACACACACACACACACACACACACACACACACCCTCGCCATACTCTTTATTTTCCATCAGAAAAATGGCAAGAATAGGACCATAAACAGCATAGCTTCTCCACCAGAATCACCTGTGGGTAACATTTTGCCTGCTACCTTTGCTTAATCCGTGTCTGGATACACGCGTCCATAGATACGGTTTTGAAGAACAAGGAGCAAACCACTTGAGAATTTTAGGCATTTGATAAAACTGTTCCACTGCTTTTGGGGGAAGTACTGGGGATCAAACTCAGGACTTTGCACTTGCCAGGCAGGCACTGTGCCACTAAACTACATCCCAGCCCAGTTCCACTGGTTGTTTGTTTGTTTGTTTGTTTTGGTTTTTTGAGACAGGGTCTCACTGTATAGTTGAGACTGACCTGGAACTCACTATGTAGCCCAGGCTGGTCTCGAACTCACAGTGATCCTCCTGCCTCAGCCTCCCAAGTGCTGGGGTTACAGGCATGCGCCACCATGCCCGGCCTCCACTGCTTTTTAAAGTGTTGAATGAAAGCACATTTGTACAGAAGCCTTTGTAGTAGTAGATTCTCGCATAGTCTATGGGGTACAGACTACCGTGGCTGTAAACCCAGCCCAGGCAGTCTGACTGTGAACTTGGAGAAATGCCTTCATTCTCTTTCTACACCTGTGACACGGGCTTGGTCCTGACCAGCATCCCAGGTGGTCACAGAAGTTAGGTAAGCAAATGCAGATAGATCTCTTGACACCCTATCAGGCACAGTGTTAGGTATTGATTTCAATGTCACTCTCCTGGACTGGTCGGAAAATGAAAAGGCAAAGTAAAATTAGAACATTCAAAGGATGCTTTGGCTTGGGGACTTCGCAGGTGGTTCTGCCCCAGAAAAACCAGCACCATCTGTGTAGGTCCAGTGACAGAGGGGACCGGAGAATTTGCTGCCCCTTTGCCACCTTCCCTATCAATCACAAGTCCCGGGCATCTTTTCTTTTCTTTTTTTTCTTTTCGTTTTTTTATTCATCTCCATTAGCACAACTTAGAGGCAAACCCCCACTCCACCCCAAGACGTGCATAATATCTTGGGATGTTCCTAGCTTTCTCCTTCTCTCCACACCCGCAGCCTTCATAGCCTCGTAGTACAAGGCTGTAGTCTTTGCTGTGTGAAGGTGTGAGTGTGCATGCCCTGCACCTCCCTCAGAGTGAGCTCCACGTGCTCCCGCTCCTTTAACGCCGAGGACTGACTGGGGCAGATGAGTGGACAGTTTTCTTCTCTGTAGAACCTATCTGTGGGCCCTACCTCAGGGAATGGAGCTGACCTGTAGTTGGAAGTTTGGAGATGAGTGGGAAGTGTGTTAAGTCAGCTTTCCATTACTGTAACAAAAGCCTGAAGTAACTTAGAAAAGGCTTACTTGGGCTTACGGTTGTAGAGGTCTCAGACAGTGACCAGCTGGCCCCTGTTGCTTTGCGTCTCTGCTGAAGCAGCACATCATGGCAGGAGCACACGGTGGAGAAAAAAGGGAAAGAGGAGCCTGGGACCCCCAAGCTCCCTCAAGGGCACATTTCCAGTGACCTCCAGCTTTTAACACCGGGGCTTTTGAGGTAGACTTAATCTCCAAACTCGACAGGAAGTCATCAGTCCATATCGGGCTCTGCAGAGGGAAGCGGGTATGGGGCTGAAGGCAGAACTGCCCTCCTCTGCCCCCATACCCTCTCTTAAGGCTCCGTCCCCTCTCTCTAGGAGCTGCGAGTTATTCCCTGTACTCACCGATTCCACAGGAAATGCGTGGACCCTTGGCTGCTGCAGCACCACACCTGCCCCCACTGTCGGCACAACATCATAGGTAATTGTCACTTAGCTCAGTCATCGCTGAGACTCACATCAGAGAACACTGGCTCAGGAGCTGCAGCACCACCAGAGCATGGCCTCCTGGACTTGGAGGCCTGGCGGCCATGGAGGTTGACGTTAAGAGTCACTGTAAGGGCCCTTGGGGTGTAGCTCAGAGATGGAGGATGTGTCTAAGCATACTCAGGGCCGTGGGTTCTATCTCTCGTACCACCCAAAAAGAAAAGACAAATCGCCTCGAGTTTACATTCAGGCTTCATGTTAAACGGGAAAGTGAGCTTTCCCTGCCTCTCCGTGCCTGAAGCCTCCAGTCTCCTTCAAGGGATGACATCAGCTGTGCCTACCCATGCGCAGGCACAGGGGTCGTTCCCGAGGGCCGTAATAGGTGATGGGCGACGTGAGATGCTGCTCCTGTGTTCCTGTGTTACGGGGCAGGGCAGGAGGCACCATCGTCTTTGTACCCCTTCGCGGGGCCCTCACGAAGGTAACCGTCTTCAGAGAGGCAGTCGTCCTCCTGCCAGCATAACTGAGCTCGATGACAGCTCGAGTGCGGTAGGCAGTAAGTATAGGCACCCTGGCCAGTGGTCCTCTCTCACCCCTCGGACTTTGGCACCGGGACACTTGGCCTCGTTTACCTTGTTTCCTCCACCTTTCTCCAGAACAAAAGGGAAGCCCAGGTGCCGTGTGTGTGGAGTCGGGCAACCTCGCACGTAGTCGGCAGCAGCGGGTGACCTTGCCAGTACATTACCCTGGTCGCGTGCACAGGACCAACGCCATCCCGGCCTACCCCACACGGACAAGCATGGACTCCCACGGGAACCCCGTTACGCTGCTGTCCGTGGACCGGCATGGGGAGCAGAGCCTCTATCCTCCGCAGACCCCCGCCTACATCCGAGGCTACCCACCCCTGCACCTGGACCACACCCTGGCTACTCACCACTGCGGCCTGGAGCACCGGGCCTACTCGCCAGCCCACCCCTTCCGCAGGCCCAAGTTCAGCAGCCGCAGCTTCTCCAAGGCAGCTTGCTTCTCCCAGTATGAGACCATGTATCAACACTACTACTTCCAGGGCCTCAGCTACCCGGAGCAGGAGGGCCAGACCCCGCCCGGCCTCCCGCCCAGGGGCCCGTCCCGTGTCTTCCCGTCCACCGGAGGCGGCAGCCTTCTCTTCCCCACTGTGGTGCACATGGTCCCGCCCTCCCACCTGGAGAGTGGCAGCGCGTCCAGCTTCAGCTGTTACCATGGCCACCGCTCCGTGTGCAGTGGCTACCTGGCCGACTGCCCGGGTAGTGACAGCAGCAGCAGTTGTGGCCAGTGCCACTGCTCCTCCAGCGACTCTGTGGTGGACTGCACTGAGGTCAGCAACCAGGGCGTGTACGGCAGCTGCTCCACTGTCCGCAGCTCCCTCAGCAGTGACTACGACCCCTTCATCTACCGCAGCCGGAGTCCCTGTCACACCAGTGAGGCAGGGGCTTCAGGCAGCTCAAGCCGAGGGCCTGCCGCGTGCCTTGAGGGCTCCCTACCGGCCGAGGAGCTCCTGGCAGCACATGGTCCTGGTGCTGGAAAGGGAGAGCCATGGCCAGGCCCTGCCTCTCCCTCAGGGGACCACTTGTCTACGTGTAGCCTGGAGATGAACTATAGCAGCAGCTCCTCCCTGGAGCACAGGGGGCCTGCTAGCTCTACCTCAGACGTGGGGCTTGAGGCTTCTCCCGGGGCCGCCCTGGACCTCAGGAGGACCCGGAAAGGGGGTCGAGAGGGGCCGTCGTGTGTCTGCTGCCGTGAGCCTCAGCCCTTTGCCCTGGGGCCTGGAGCGGGAGCAGCTGGCAATGGCAGCACCTTGTTCCTGAGCGCCCCCCTCCATGAGGGCTGCAGCCACACGGGAGGGGAGCGACAGCCAGGAAGTTCCCAGGGCCTGTATGGCCTTCACCCAGACCACTCGCCCAGGATAGACGGGGTGAAGTATGAGGGCCCGCCTTGCTGCTTCTATGAAGAGAAGCAAGTGGCCCGTGGTGGTGGAGGGGGCAGCGGCTGCTTTACTGAGGACTACTCGGTGACCGTGCAGTACACGCTTGCAGAAGAGCCCCCTCCCAGCTGCTGCCCAGGGGCCCAAGACCTGAGCCAGCGCATCCCCATCATTCCAGAGGATGCAGACTGTGACGTGGGCCTGCCTCCAGACTGCCGAGGGACTCGCAGCCTCAGCCCCTGGGGTGGGACGCTGGGCCTGGATGCCCTGCGGCCCCACAGGGGCTTGGGAACAGCCCAGGAAGAGGAGCAGTTTCCGTGCTCCCAGGCTGATGTGCGGCTGCGGGCTGGCTGTCTTCCAGAAGGGGCAGGTGCCACCAGGGCCAGCCTCCCTGGTGCCCCCCAGGACACTCAGGAGTCCAACACCCCAGGTGCTGAGGCTGCAGGTAAGAGCAGTCATTCCATGGGAGGCCTTCTCCTCAGTCCTTTTTCCTCCATGCCCTTAGTTTTAAACACTGTCTGTCCCTGCTAATGTATGCTGGTCCCCTTTCATACCCACTGAGCCTGTTTTCATGATCCTTCAGTCTCTATCTTGCAAGCCTCACAAGCACCCTGCCCTGTCACGTCCACAGCAGCCCTCATCCCCAGAAGTACAGCTCAAACATACCAGCTTTTTCCCTCCCCTACTCCCACCCCTACCCCCACCACAGTCATTATTTCAGCCCTTTTCCTCTCCAGGCAAAGACAGAAAAGTCTCCTGTCTTGGGGCTTGCCATCTCTTCTACTTGAGAGGCAGAGTGGCCATTTTCAAAACAAAAGTTGATGTCTTTATACTTTAAAGCCTTTTAATGATTTGTTATTATCTATACTGTTTAAAATGTGAACTGAAGCCAGGTGTGGTGGCGCACACCTGTAATCCCAATACTTGGGAGGCTGAGGCAGGAGGCTTGCTCCAAGTTTGAGGCCAGCCTGGGCTACATAATGAGTTCAAGGCCAGCCTGAAATACATAGGTGGTAGACTGTTTCTCAAAAAACAAATAAACAAAATGGGCCGGAGATTTAGCTCTGTGGCACTATGCCTGCCTTATAAGCACAAGTTCCTGAGTTCAATCCCCAGTACCAAAATAAAGAATGCTGGACGTGGTGGTGCACAGCTGTAATCCCAGCCCTCAAGAGGCAGAGGCAGGAGGATCACCAAGAGTTTGAGGCCAGCCTGGGCTACAAAGTGAATTCAGGGACAGCATGAACTACAAAGCAAGACCTTGTTTAAAAAAAAAAAAAAAAAAAATGTGGCCGGGTGTGGTGGCGCGCGCCTGTAATCCCAACACTCAGGAGGCTGAGGCAGGAAGATCACTGTGAGTTCGAGACCAGCCTGAGCTACACAGTGAGTTCCAGGTCAGTCTCAATTACATAGTGAGACCCTGTCTCAAAAAACCAAAAAAAAATGGAGCTACTTGCCCAGCTTTTTACAGTCTGGTCCCTGCCTATCCATCCAACTAGTGCCTTTTCTGTACTCTTTGCACTTGCTGCTTTTGCTTTTGCTTTACTTACTTTAGCCCCCTGTGGCCTCTCTGTTCCTCCAGGGTGCCAAGATCATCCTAGCCTCCACACCTCTCCTTTATTTCTGTCCTCCAGGTCTCTCTGAGTGACCTGCTACCCCTGCCAAGGTCCCTGGATGAGGTGACTTTGTGAGGAAGTCTATACTCTGTTTGCAGCACCTGCAGCTGTGCCTGACACTTCCTTAATGTCGCTTTTGTATATTGTGGCTTCATGCCACCTAAAGTCCTCCAGAAAGTTCTGCATACCCAGATGAGGGGGACTGGCCCCAGGAGACTGAGCTCCTCTTCAGAAACGGGTCTGCCCAGCGTGCACAGAGAGCAGGTACCAGAGTCCCTTGTCTGGTCCCTGTGCCCTGTGCCCGAGGCCTGCAGTGCCAGCTCCCTCGCCTGATGATTGTTTTCCCTCTGTCTCTCAGGACCAGGATCTCGCCCAGCAGAAGGCAGCGGCACAGGAGCCTGAGCTCAGAAGGAACTCTTACTGAAAAATGGGAGCTGTCGGACTCTACTTCCTTCAAAGAAAAACAAAAACAAAAACAAAAAAAATTTTTAGCTTTGACAAACACATAAAAGTGGTAATACAGAGAGCCCTCCTTTCACCCAAAATGTGAGCCGCCTGTGGCAGAAGCCGCCTCTCCCGTTAAACCAACAGACAAAATTCTTAGTTCTTTGCCTCTTTTCATAACATGTTATTCTGTTTTGTAAAATGTGTGCTTGGGGTTACAAGGTGTGTGGGATTGAGTTCTCTGCTTTTGTTTCTTTTTTAAAGATATTATATGTAAATGTAAAAAGATATTTAAATATATATTTTAAAGAATCCTAACCACCAATTTTTGCTGAAAAAGAAAAAATCACTGCTGCATTAAATGAACCACATCATGTGTAGATACTGTTGCCTCCCCAGAGGGAGCTCAGGCCTTTGAAAAGCTCAGGGCTACACCTGCCTTAGAAAATTAACCAGAAACTTGAAGTAAAGATAGTTAATATGGGTACAAACTCTGAGGAACAATGCAAAGCTGCCTCTTCCTTGTGGCAGATCCAAATGTACAAAATGTCTTCTTGGAAGCCGTGCCTCTCCAGCCTGTACTTTTAGACAAGTCATGGAAATGGCTAGGAATAAGCCAGAAAGTTTGCAGCCCTAGGAAGCTGGGTCAAACCATTGCTGCACAAGCCTCAGTGAAACAAGGACACTTCTGCCCCGTATCCTCAGTCTGTCCCTTTGGGTCATCCCAAACGAAACAAGAGTTCGCAATCCTGATCTTGGCAGACGCCCAGAGTAATGAGGGCAGTGTAGGTGAGGACCTTTACCTGAAGCCCTGGGGCGGAGGAGAGGAAGCTCTGCCTCTGTGTTCTTGACTTTGGATTCCTTTGGAAGTACATTTCGGGCTTCCTGCCACTGGCTGTGAAACGGTTAGACAGGGAGTGTGGGCAAACACCCAGAAGGAATGTAGTTTTTGTGGCCTTGGTGTCTGACGGGGCTGAGGCGGATTGCTCTCCAGGTAGCCCGCAGCACACTGCTCTGTGGAGAAGGGGCGCAGGGCGCCTGCCTGTGCACATGCTGTGTGGTGGGCGGAGCTGAGCACCTTTGGCTACTGTTTCTCTGGGCTGCCTTCCTTGGGGTGGCACGTCAAGACCCCAAGAGGAGGGGTGCCCTGAGCTCCCTTTGGATGGTCTTTTCCCCAATCCCTTTTGCCCTACAGAAGCCCCACTTCAGGGTTATTCAGCCCTCTGCCTCGTGGCTGAAATTGCTCATCTCACCTGCAAATGTCTACTAATCTATCTACCTAATGCACTATTATATATTGATTCTCCATGAGATAGGCTATCAGATAGTTTAGACCCAAAGGGTAGTTTTTTGTATATTTTTCCAGCCTTTTGCTTTTTTAAGGGGCAGGGAGAGTTTTTAAAAACCCAAACCATTTTTAAAGGTGTTGAAAAGGTGTTTAAAAGGTGTTTCATTTCTAAAAGGGAGAGACTCTATTTAAAACTACTTCAGATCAGGGATTATGGTTATCCTTTTTGTCCAGTTTATTCTTGTTCCTAAGGAAAACTAGTCACATTAGCCCTTTATGTTCACTAACTCTTATTCTCCCTCTCTCTCTCTCTCTCTCTCTTTCATTTAGCAGACACTTGTTGCCATCTGAAAGAGTATGGCCCATTGAGTATCTAAAAGCTCATTTGGGATAGGGATCACCATAGGGTGTCAAAAGACTTACTGACTGACCCCTCTGCAGTCAGGCACTCAGGAAGTCAGCCCAGGGTCCAGGCTGGAACATTTTGAAAAAAAGTCTCACTATATCAGAATACTTTTCAGACCCCAACCTATTACTAGGAAATTCTTTCTAGCCAGGATTTGACAGAAGGAAATCCCACCATCAAGCCATTTGCCATTTAGGAACTCTGGTGAGATTTACCCTCCAGCCTCTGGGGTACACTCCCTTGGGGGCTGTTCCCCTGGGCTGTGCCTAGCACACCTGTTGGTGAGGGTGTGAGAAGCGCCTAAACTGTTGACGTGGGATTCTGGCTGCCTTTATTTCTGGGGCCAGGAGTAGCAGCTGCTAAGAACAACAGCTTGTGTTACATGGTTTCAGGGAGGGGGTGGGTTGTGACTTTTAACATGAACTGCAGAAAGCAGCTTCTTATTGTTGAATTTTTGTTTGTGGTTCTGCTTTTTTGTTTTTATTGCCTTTGAGTGCATATTATCTTTCTTTTCTGAAATCCTACCCCCAAAGCAGCTTTCTTCAGCCCTGGCTGGAAAACTACCCCTCAGTGTAGCGTTAAGCAGTAAATAGATGAGAGAATTTGACTACCAATGGACTTATTAAAATAAATGCATCCATTTTCATTTGAAAGATTGATAACTAGACAACAAAAAGGCACATTTAATTTTTGTACTTTATAGATGGGAGAGACAAAATGAAAATTTAAAAATCAAGCAGCATCTTTCAGATTTGTTACTGGCTCATTAAACAGGAGGGTCACCGGAGTGAAATAACCACCTATCTTATTGCATCACTGTTTTAATCTAATTTAATTTAAAGCTGTCTTTGAAGTTCGAAGGCTCCGGTTAGGGTGACAAGCACCTTTGTGGCGTGTGGCAGTTGTAAAGCCAGGGAAACAGCATCCCGCTTTCCCCTGAGAGCCACCCCTTCCCCCAGATCGGGGTGGGGCAGGAGGGCACGGTCTTGGGGCCTTGTCCTGGGTGTGGGGTGGCCATGTAAACCAGAGTTCCAGAGCCAGCTGCACTTGGAAGCCTGGGCGTTCCGACTTCTGAGGTACCCTGTGGGCGCAGATCCTTAAGCTGGCCCGAACGCCTCCCTTCCGAGCTACCTTGGGACGTTCTGTCTCCTGTCCCACTGTTCCGACTCGCCCTTGTATGCTTCTGGTCTCTATGCAAGGTTCATGCTTCCAAAATGAGGTCTAAGAAATGATTGATTACTAATCAAGAGTATTCTTTTCAACAGAGCTGCCTCGTTCTATTCTTTATGTAAACTCTCATGTTGGTCTAAAAAGGCACTATTTTAACATTTTTAAAAGAATTTCTCCCATAGCACTTAAACTATTTTATAAAGACTTTGCTGTAAAGATTTTGTAATAAAAATAATCTAAGGGCTCCTTTTCCAACATTACCATTTTTAAAGAATGTTTTAAAAGCTAGAAAACAACTTATGTATATTCTGTATATGTACAGCAGCACATTTCATTTATGGAAATATGTTCTCAGAATATTTATTTACTAATATATTTATCTTAAGCCATGTCTTATGTTGACAGTGTGACATTGTTGGAGTAATCATTGAAAATGACTAACACGAGGCCCTGTAAATACATGATAATTGCACACAGATTTTACATATTTGCAGACCAAAAATGATTTAAAACAAGTCGTAGTCTTCTATGGTTTTGTAACAAATTGTACAAATGACTTTAAAGAAAATACAATTTTATCAAGTATGTGTTATATGTTGTCATTGCTCCATTCTGTCAAGATCCCAGATTCTACAAGGAAGAGGTTTGTATGGACCAGTGTTTGGTTGTGTTTTGTTTTTGTTTTTGTTCTTTTCCAGTGCTGGGGGTTGAACCCAGGGCTTTTGTACTGAGCTACATCTCCACCACCCTACCCCCCTTTTTTAAATCAGGAGTCTCTAAAGTTGTCCAGGCTAGACTTGAACTTTGTATTCTCCTGCCTCAGCCTCCCAGAGTGCTGAGATTATAGGCATACACCACTTCCTGTACCCAGTGCTTTGAACTCCAGCTTACCCACGGAAGTATCCCTATGACTTCCTCTCCTGGGAACACAGGTCAGGCTTTGGGAGTTCTGCAGTGTCGCGGGGGAGCATTTGCTAGAGAATGGGTGTTTTAAGTCCGTGAGGTGGTGATAGGCTTTCTGCTCAGTGCGTATGGGAAAGCACCACAGTAGTAGTAAATGATCAAGAGCTTTGCCAAGCTGATGACACCTATAATCAGTAAGCACTTGAGAGGCTGAGCCAGGAGGATCTCAGGTTCAGGACCAACCTGTGCAATTAGTGAGACCCCAGCTCCAAAAGCAATAAAAGCATGGTGGTCCGCTTTATTGAAATAGGGAAGATAGGGTTGGATATAAACCACTGGCCTCATCTTCCAGGCCTTTTTCCTACCTGGAAACCTCAGTCCCGTCCCTTGTAGGAAAAAACCTCAAAGCAACTAGCTCAAAAGTACCTAATCCTGTGCCGGGCATGGTGGTGCAGGCCTGTGTTCCAGCTTACTGAGGAGGCTGAGGCAAGATTATCATTTGAGACCAGCCTGGGACACATAGGCGAGCCTGCCTCCTTGTCACATACAAATCACCAAAGCATTCGTGGAAAGGGACTTCCGTCTTAAGTAAATCTGATATGTTTGTCATGTTTTTCTGGGAGAGGAGTCACTAATTTGAGAAGCACTCTGAAATTACATGAAAGGTGGTACGTATTTTTCAGACCTTTAGCAGAAAATATCCTGAATTCATGAGTTCCTGTTCTTTTCACTTTAATTTGGGCTATTTCTTGGGCACAGGCTCCTCACCCAACCACTTCCTGCCTTGGCTGGGTGTCGTCCTGAGCACCTTCAAGGGTGGTGGCTTGACTGCACAGAGCTTCCCAGAGCTTTTGTTTAACGGCCTTGCCCAGCTCCAAGTTGTACCTCTTGGGGGTTCCTGAAGGGTTCCACAGCATCGGCTCCACCACAGCCTGGTACAGAGCCCGGTAGCCCTCTGTGGGGAGGCCGTGGATGGTTAGGGTCTCCTCTGACAGCTGCTGTCTCTTCTGGCTTTCAGGAAGCAATGCTTGGCCCTTCCAGGCTGTCGCCCCACTGTCCCGGGGTAATTCTTGGGTGGCAGCCACATGTCTGGCATATCTGTCCTCAAGATCTTGGCGCGGTGTTACTTTCTTCTCCTTTGAACTTCCTTTGCTCTAGCCAGGAAGAAAGCAGAGAAGTCAAAGCCAAAACTTGAGAAGGGAGCTCAGAATAATTATCTGGGATTTGTGTCTCCACAGTCTTGGTTATAGCAACAACCAACAATTGTCTAACATGTTCTAGTTTTCTGAATTCCTTTAGGTATGATACTGTGTGTGTTCCCTATGGCCCTGTAAGGTCAGTGGGAGGCAGCTTTAAAGGCGAGGAGATTGGTCTGCCCAAGGCCACACAGCTAGAAGGTTAATAACCACAGCTTGTCATCTGCTCGATTCTGGGCAGGATCCTCATTATTTACTTGGTGCCAGGGTCTGTTCAAAGCCCGTCACGTGTAGTGACTCACCTCACCTTCGTGAAGCTTTCTGAGGGAAGGGCCATTATCTCGCCTTTTTATGATAAAATCGGAACACGTGGAGCCCAAGGTCATTCTCAGTTACATCTGAGTTGGGATTTGAACTCTTCACAGCCTGACTCCAAGGCACCACTCAGTTCTGCTGGCCCTCGGAATGAAGGGCAGGGCTCAGATCAGACCTTGAGCCAAGCTGACTCCGTGTGGAAAGTACAGCTTACCTCCGGGGTGCGTAGGTGTGCAAATGCGTTCTACCCATAGCCTGGCCTCCTCCTTCTCCCTTAATCTCCTTCTCTGCCAAGTTCTCTGTGTTTGTGTTTACGAAGGCACTTTCACCCTTTCAATAACAGCGTGACCCAGATCTGCCGTCTTCCCACCCCATCGGCAGCACCTCCCAACCCCAGCCCTGCTCACTCACCTGGGGCGCCTCTCAGACGTTGAGTGCTCTCTAGCTGCACCTTCTCCCCACCCGCCACGTAAAACCCCACCTCTGGCCGCGTTCTACCTTTCTGACGCTTCCTGCCGGCCTCTTGTGCCCAGGTGAACCTGGCAGCTGCCCTGCTGGCCGCCTGCTCTTGAAATTTTTGACAGCGTTTCTTATCCCGACCAGCTGGGTGGCTCTTGCTGTTGAATTGTCTGTGGGCTTTGGTCTCTTCAAGGGCTTTGCCTCTCCGGACCTGGAAGGTACTGAGCGGCACCGTCTGAGCACGAGTTTAACCAGGGAGAAGGAACTGGTGATCGATGGATTCTTCACCACTTCCCAACGAGGGGCGGTACCTGGCGTTGGGGTGATGTTCTGCTTTGCGCATATTCTGGCCGTCCAGATGTTGGTGAGCGCTGGAGAGAGCACATAGCCGTCCTGCAGCCTGGTGCTCAGTGAGATAGACTCTCGAAGTCCGTAGGTGGCGAGGCCGGACTCCCCTCCCGCGTGGATTCGATGCTAGAATTATGGGGACCGGAAGAGGAATAAAGAAAGCGGTTCTCAAGCAGAAACCAGCAAATCTACTTTAAAGTCTTAAGTAGTAACATCTTTTGGGCCAGGGATTTAGCTCAGCTTATTTAGGGATTTAGCTCACTGCCTGCCTCGCAAGCGCAAGGCCCTGAGTACCCAACAAACAAACAAAAAAACCCACCTCTTTTTATAGACCCTTCGTACCACATAGACCTTTTTAAATTTTGCTATATATCCTCTCCCCTGCTCTCCTTTTTTATACCAAATAGGGAAGAGATAGAAACTTTGCAAGTTCATGCTACTCAGGCTCCTGAACGTAGCGCGCTGAGGCAGGAAGTTGGGCGAGGGAGGGTGAACTAGGAAAACAAGACAACCCCTGTCTGCTGGGAGACCGTGGACTCCGCGGCAGGAGTGGACTAGGAAGCACGGTCACCTAAGGCTTCTGCATAAGCTGTAATCGTAACTCGTTCACACTGCAACACAGAAACGACAGAGGTAATTCGCCAAACCCTGAAGACAGCCTCCAACCATGCTGCCTTAGGCCACGTAAGGCCACTAAAGAGAGAAATACACTCTGGGTCCGTAAAAGGCAAAGCACAGCCTCAGTTAGGCTGGTCTCCACATCCTGGAGACTAGCTGAGAACAAGAAAACAATTTGGACAGAGGACAATCATACATAGAAGAGACCTGGCTTTCTAAGAAATGCCATCTATAAAAAATAAAATCGCCTTACCATATTTCAGTTGCCTTAAATTTTATTTTAGCTTAGTAGGGGGAAGAAATATGTATTTCTTTCTTTTCGCTCTTTTTGTTTTGTTTTAATATTTCTAGTCACCTGTCTCTCTGCCTCAGTCACGTATAGGCAAATTGCTGTTTGTTTAGATTTTGGCTCGTCTGGAGGCAGTTTTGAACCATTATCTCTAGTATTTGTGATGTCACTTTGGTTTGTGATGTGGGTGTGGGTGGGTGTTACATCACCACATTTTATAGTTAAATTGTGTAGAAAGGGGCCGGGGATTTGGCTCAGTGGTTCCGCCCCCTGTCTCGCAAGCACAAGGGCCCACGTTCGGTACCAAAAACAAAACCAACCAAACAAACAAAAACATGAAGGTTAAAATTATTTTTAAAAATTATGTGGAAAGAAGTTCTGTTTTATAATTGTCATGGCTTCAGTAACTTAAGTGAAGTCCTTGCTTCCCATCGAGTGGCTTGGGTAAAGATCCTGATGTTTTTAGCCAGGCGTGGTGGTGCACACCTGTCATCCCAGCACTTGGGAGGCTGAGGCAGGAGGATCCCTGTGAGTTCGAGACCAGCCTGGGCTACACAGTGAGTTCCAGGTCAGTCTCAACTACGTAGTGAGACCCTGTCTCAAAAGGGGGGGGGCAAGGATTTAGATCAGTGATTCCACCGCCGCCTGCCTCACAGGCACAAGGACCCAAGTTCGATCCCCGGTACCAAAAAAAAGATCCTAATGTTTTAAGAAACGTTCTTTGTATGAAATGTCAAATACACAGATTTGTGGATACAGGTAGTGAGATGAGGCATCTCTACATGTGCAAAAGAACCCTCCTCCGTGCACATAAAGAAGGTGCTGTTAAATTCTTACAATGGCTGCCAAGGTTAGGGACCAGAAATGAAAGAATACGTTCCTACCACCCTGGGCACTGCTCCTTGTGTGTCTCTCCCAGGGAGACTACATGGCTTCTGGAATGTGGTTTTATTTTACATCCCATGGCAAATGCAGTAATTAGAGCCATTAGTAGTGTCAAGAGCTTGAAAGGAGAACAAAGACATCTCTCATGGGAAGTCTTGGGCAATGCCCTGCTCCTTATCAGGTGCTGGTCCTGTTGGTGGTTTTGATTTTTCATATACAAAATGCCAAAGGAGCCTCCCTGCCCAGGGAGAAGAGAGTGAAATGATGGAAAAACCAAGTCGGAGTCTGGCAGGGACGCCTGGAATCCTGCGTCGCCTGTTGGAATTTCTGAGTGTTATCCCTGGAGTGGCCGAAAGCCCCGCCACAGGCTGCGGTGGAAGCACCTCCAGACCTGTGGCGTCCGGACCCACGACACTTGGGCGGACAGTGGTGCTCATTCAGTGCTGAGTCCTGGCCTCAGCTCCCAAGAGGCAGGGCGGTTTGAGAGCAGGGCTTTGGAAAAGGGTTTGCGAATGTCTGGAGACTGGGCTGGCGAGCGAGCACCCTCTCAGGGCCGGTGAATCTCGCTGAGGTGGCAGGCAAGGTATTCTCACGCTGCCTGAAAATTGCCATCTGCGTTTAAGCTGTGCCTAACCGCGGTGGAAGGCAAGTGTGGAGCCGAAAAGTTATCGCTGGAGGGGCTCTCCTGATCCCTTTCCCCTCCTTTTCTGTTTGTTTCAGTTTTCGGTTTTTGGCCCACTTTTTTTTCCTTCCTTCCTTGCTTTTTTTCTCCCTCCTTCCTGTCTTTGAAGCAGGGCCTCCCTAAGTCACTAAGTTGCCCAGAGTGGCCCGAGCTCGCGACGCTTCTCCCTCAGCCTCCCAGAGTACTGGGGTCACAGGCGCGCCCCTGCGCCCAGCTTCTTTCCCCGTCCGGAGTTCGGCTTCCCTGCACCTCCTCCTCCCTCCCAGATACTCATCCGTCACGAGTGACGGCCGCGACTCTGGAGAGCACATTGTGTGTTGAACTCGGGTCCTTGAGCCCCTGAGCCGAACCCGGCCCGCGAAGAGCTCCCTGAATCGCCTTCTTTAGCGCCAAGCTGCTCACACAGGCAGCGCTGTTCACACTCCTCAAACCTCCTCTCCACGGCGCGCAGCTCACTTCCAGGGACTGTGCCCTCGACACAGCCCCGCCCCACCTCCGATCCACCCCAGGCGAACTTCGCGGGTGTGTTTTTCCTGTTTACAAACTAGACTTTACTCAGCACCTGTGAAGGACCGGAAATGCCTCGCGCAACGTCCTGCGAGGGTGAGAACTGTGCCGCCCGACGTTGCGGACGAAGGAACTGAGGCACAGCTGCTCAAGAACCGCACGACTCCGCCAAAACCCGTGCAGCCTGGCTCTGAACCGCTCGCGGCGACCA